CGGCTGTGTCCAAAATGCAGTGCGAGGGGGCTTCCCGCGCTCACAAAAAACGGGGCACCCAATGGGCGGTAAAATACCTCAAGGAGACGACCACCCAGGACACTCTCCAGCAGGTGATTGGACGTGCAGGGGATGAGGGGCCTGCCGGCTCCCATGGGGACCGCCAGCACAATCCAGGCCCGGCCGCTGGTACTAGCGGTGCTGATAGGGTTGAGGACTCCTCCCCTCATGTGCCTAGCACAGCCCTCCCTTAAGGGCCAAGGCAAGAAGGGAAGGAACAACCAGCCCGCTCCGAAGGCCGTGAGTCGGGCTAGCTCAGCCCAGGCCCTGCGGCACCAACCGGCTGCCTCGCAGACGGCTGGGGCCCCGCAGCCAGTCTTCACACAGCCTCCCAAGGCCCCACAACGGAAGACTAAGGGAATCTCAGGGCAACCTCACCCTCCCTCCGGTTCTTCAGACCAAGGCCCTCCGGATGCCACTCAGGTTGCGCCTAAGACCAAGGCCAAACGTGCTCGGAGCCTGCTTCCTTCCCGGCGCCGAAAGGGCCCGGTCCGACCATTCAGCCCAGCACGCCGGCCCCTCCGGCCAACGGTAGTGGTCTCCACACCGAGACGGAGGCCGAGGCGGAGACAATTCGGCATCAAGGCCGGAAAAAGGAAAAAACTGAGAAGAGTGACCAGACCTTTGCACCAACGTCTGCCAACAGGACCCCTAGACCCTCAGGTTCCAAGTCCTCCGCCCAAGCCCCCCTTTTCTCAGTTCAACCCAAGGCCCCAGAGGCTCTAGTTTCTCTTGGTGTTGTTGGGGAAGGGTTAGCTGCACCCACCCCGAAGCCCAAGCCGAAGCCCAAGCCTGTTTCTCAACCTAAGCTCCGGCAGTTCTGGGCCCAAGGTGGAAAGCCTTAGGAAAACCGTAGCCTTTGTGTAGGCACTTTTCCTTAGAGCCCTCTTTTCCCCCTTGTCTTACTTTGGACTGCAACACCTGCCTCAGGCTCAGCTTTTCCCCAAGCCTCTGAAGCTCCAGTAGCTGCTGCCATGGCTCACGAGCACCCCTTGCATCCCCGGCCTTAGCACTCTCAGTTTTTCGAGATGGGCTGGGAGTGGGAAAGGAGGTGGTGCTACCACTCCTGGAGATGGGAATGGCGAGTCGTCTGGACCGGCCCTGAACCGTTCGGGGCGGACTTCTGGGACGACCCAGCCGATCAGACCGCCGGTCACAGCTCCTCAGCGGCAGCTTGTGGTGACACCGGCGGATCTGACGGGCCCACCACCAGTTGGCAGGGCTGGCAGGGCTGGTGGGAAGGGTGGCAGGAGAACCCTTCCCAAGAGTGGGACTGGACCGACAAGGTAGGCGACACCGGGGCCAGCGGGTCCAGGGATGTCCCACCTGCCTCCTCTTGAAGGGCGTGGTCGATCCACCCCTTCAAAAGGGAGAGGCAAGCAGCCCTCCGTCCACCGGGGAGACATCGGGGTTTTTCTTGGCACGCTCGTCCACGTGCTTCCTGTAGGCCCGTTCCAGGGCCTTGCGAGGCGCGTGTCGGTTTCCAGCTTCGTGCGGAACCGTAAGCGGCCCCCTCGCAGCCAACGGGAGGCTTTAAAGGCGGAGAGGGATGGGTCTAACCCTCCCACGGCCCAGCCGGACAGCAAGCCACCCAGAGTCCGCACCCCTCCGCCCTCTAGGCGGACCGGCGGCAACAGCAAATGGGCGGCGAAAGCTGAGCAAGCCTCAGCAAGCGCCTCAGAGAGCTCCGGGCAGAGCTCTCAGCCGGAGGCTCCGACGCCACAGGACCAGGATGAGATGTTGCCCTGGTCCCGCCGCATCGTTCAAAAAACCACTGCGGTCAAGTCGTCGGCAGCAGCTCTGAAGAGGTGATGGAGCCTGACCCACCCTCTGCTGCGCCGGGTACCGGCCTAGAGGAGGCACCTTCCGACCAGGGTGCCAACTTGGCGCCTGCAGCCGCACCCATGAGGAGGTGCCCACTCAAGACGAGGCCACAAACACGGCCTTCCCCGAATCCGGGGCACCGGTCTCAACGGGTTCAACCTCCCCTTCCAGGGTCGAGGAGGAAAAGGGTGGCCCGATTCCCAGCCACGACACGTCCTCCGCAGGACCCGCTACCACTGCCAGTGTTCGGAAGTCTGCGCCCCAGGAGACGCCACCTCACTCCCCTGGTCGGGAGACTCCGCCCGCGGGCCCCCCGGTCTCCTACGGCCCAGGGGGGGCCACCCAGAGTGCACGAGTCTCCCGGGGCCCAAGCAGCCCTGCACTTGCCAGTGCAACGAGGGTTGAGGGACCCCCTCCCCTCCCTCACGAGGGCGCCGCTGCCCCCCAGAAGAGGAACAGGGGAGAGGTACCAGGCAGCGCCCCGGCCTCGGCACAGTTCATGCGACTTGAATCACCAACCGCCGGAGGCGCGATGGATCGCCCTGGCAGTTAAGCCCTCCGCTTTAGCCAATGAGGTGCTCAGCCTGTGTCGCAACAGGCTGAAGCTGGGGGGCTTGGATTGCCTCCAGGTCTGGCCCGACGAGGCGATCCTGGACCTACGGTTGCCCATGGGCGATCAACTTCGCGAGGGCGAACGAACCCTCATGGCTACAGGGCCTTCGGCCCCGCAGCCGGAGGTCCCCGTGGTTAGTGGGCCAGCCCTGAGCGAGGGTGCGGGGTCCGAAGGAGGGACGGGGTGCTCCCCCCCTCAAGAGCCTTCCCCCGCGGATCCGGCTCTTGACGAGGTTGTGGTGCCACCACCCTCTTATGGACCCCACCGGGCTGTCAACAGCCCGGACCGGATGGGCTGTTTTGCTACGCTTGTAGGGTTCGGTCCCCTACAATCGAACATATGCAGGCCCATTTCATGACGCCCGGGCATCAGGAGAGGGTCAGGCGTTTCTTGGCCTCCTAGCCTGACCCTCTCCTGTGCAGAGATAGGGTGCTCTGCAGGGTGAGGTGAACCTCCCTTTCGGGTGAGGCTTCCTCCCTGTAGGACAGTGCGTCCTGTTTCACTGGGATGTGGCTCACCACTCCCAGGAAGTGGTTCCCACTCCTGCCAGTAGCTCAGGTAGGTCAGGTAGCCTGCAGCTCTAGGTAGGAGTAGCCACTGCCGCCACTTTGGCGATGCCCGCAAACGCGGATGACTCCAAAACACTTGGAGTTAATTCATGCATGTCGGACAAGCCTACGGGCTGCTTCTGCGAAGCGTGTGCGAGAAAAGTTTTGCTCCTTTTAGGTGTGCCCTTGAGTACCGACATGCTTGTTTTGCGCATGGGAAAGGGTTTCATCCTTTTTGCCTTGAACTGTTTTGTTTTGGAAGCTTGAACAGGCATTTGCATGGCTAACACATGTTTTGGCATGTTTGCAGTTGCTTTGAGGAACATGATGAGCGTCTACTGCACTAGAGATGCTTTGGAGCATCCTTGAAGAAGTGCGTGTTGCTCTGACTGCACTGCTGCTGTTTTCCGCCGACCCTCGCTTCGCTCGTGCCGGTGGGAACAGGCCAAGGGACAGAGTGGCTGTGCACTGCTGTTTGAGTGAGTACAGAAGTCCTGAGAAGTGTTAGGACAGTTGCATGTCATTCCTCCTTTGTTTAACAAAGTTGAGACGGAATTTGCTGCGCGAGACTCCGCAAGAGACCTTGCTGAACACTTCGGTGTTTGGCTCAAGCGTGGAGTGAAAAGAGACTTGCTCTGCGTTTTTCACATCCATGGGTTGTTGTTGTTGTTCCTCTCTCTCCCCGGAGGGAGAGAACCACGTTTAAACCTGGATTAAACCCCGGGAAGGGAGGGAACTAGTCTCTCTCTCTCTCTCTCTCTCTTCTGTCGCTTCTCCTTTATTGCCGGCATGCGAAGTGAAGATCAGCCCTTAGAACTTTGGAGTGCGAGTCGTCGACTTTTACCCCCGAAAAATGGACTTCTACTTCCCACCACGCCTGGCGCTATGCTTTTTTTGGATGCATGGGACTTTTGGGCGGTATTATCGCGGCCTTGGAGCTTTGCCCGTTTTGTGCTCGACACCAAGAACCTCGTTTTTTGGGTTGCTGTCTTTGTTCCTTCTCTTTTCCTCCAGATCCATTCTCCGGAGCATTGTAAGCAACGAGCTCTGGTTCATTGCCATCATTTCTCTCTGCTGCAGCATTTCCATTCTGAACCCAGGCATGGCCTCTGCTCAACTTAGCGCCTGTGTAGGAGGCGCGTGCCAGCCAAGTCGTGCCTGCTTGAATCTCTCACGCACTACACTTGGTTAACGATACTGTCGAGAATGCACTTCATAAGCTTTGGAACGGAGTTTTGTTTTCTTCAAACGATGTGCAGTTGTGATGCATGTGAAGATAAGCATGTTTTTGCCACGACGAGTTTTTAGCTTTGAAGAGTTTTGTTAGCAAGAAGAGTTTATGCAAGCAGTTGCAGTCGCATTTTGTCTGCATCAGGAATGTAGAGCTCAAGAGCTGTAAAGCAGCGAAGTGTGAAGCCACAAAGCAGGTCAGCAGTAGTGCAAGGACAGAGTTACGACACCTTTCTTGCTGTGAGTGCGAAAGTGCTGTGCAGGCTGTGCGAGCTGTGCTAGTGTTTGTAAGTTTCTACATGGTAGCGGAGCTGACGCTCCTCCACCTTGGCCCCAAGAACTAGCTTGTGTGACGCGAAGGTATGCAGAGCTATCCTGGCTCGCCAGACAGACTGGAGCAAGGTCTGAAGGGAGCAGGTAAGGGAGGGGAGGAGGTGGATCCGTGGAGTGCCTTTTTGCAACAGCAGCAGCTTAGACAGCAACAGCCACAAGCGAGACCTCAGCAGCCTTTGCCAGTTGGTGTGCAGAGACAAGCGTCAGGTGTGGTCGGGCAGGGCACAGGAAGTGATATGTCGAGTCTTGGAGAGTCGTTCAGAAATCACGTGCCGGTGCCACCACAGCCTGCTCCAGCAGTTGTTAATCCAGTCCCTTGCAACGCGTGCAGTGCTCAAGTTGCTGGAAGTGTTCAGCAGCAGGGTTCAGTTCAAAGTGATCTTTTGAGAGAGATGCAAGTGCTGATCTCGCGTATGTCGCCTCAGCAGGCACAGGCAGCACAGACGGTGCTGAATGAACAGCTGATGTATCAAGCTAGGGGTGTTCCCGATCGGTTTGGTGAAAGACCGGTACATCCTGATGCTCGTCAGGGTCAGTTTGCTCCAGGAGCACCTTCGGGAGTGTTGCCTTGTCAGGCTTACCAGTCGCCACAAGTGAACCAGCAGAGCTTTGAGAGTCGGGACGTCTTCTCCAGGGCGGACAAGTGGCTAGGTCAACCACCGAGTGCTGGTGTTGAGAAGTGGACTTCTAGAGAAGTGGAGATTGCTGGGTTTTCCGACTACATTGTTGCCCTTCAGTCGTGGGCAGCATTGGCCAGCATGACGTTTGCTGAAGAGATCTCTTGTGCTGTTAAGTGGCCTGAAGTCATTTGGCAGCAGACGTTGTCTGAAGATCAGAAGGTGAGATCAGTGAGGCTGTTCGGGATCTTGAGAACTGCTTTTGCGGGGCAAGCGCGCGCAATGCTCATGATACAAGCGTTTGGTGAAGGGTTGCCACTTGATAACTCTGTCGCCGATCCCGTGAGATTTCTAGGAAACACTTCATGTGGTTTTGAGTTGTTGCGTCAGCTTGGTCAACAGTTTTCTTTGAGATCAAGGGCAGAAGCGCTGTCTATGAGATCTGAGCTGTTGGGACGCATCTTCTCGATGAAGAGCAGTGAAATGAGTGCAGCAACGGTTGTAGGAGATGTGATCCGGAAGCTTGATATCGAAGTGGCACGTTTTTCGAAGCTTTTAGGAACACTGCCATCGCATTTGGACAGGCAAGGCCTGAGCATTGCTGACGGAGACATGTTAGTGATCCTTTTGCGTAGTTTGCCTGAGGAAGCGAAGAAGCATGTGTTGCATCACTCGGCTGCAGATACCTATCAGACCGCACGTCTTTCTGCCTTGAAGTACGAACAGCAACAGCGATTGGTTTTGGATTTGAACTTTGGACATGGCAAGAAGCATGTGAGTGAGCTTTTTGATTTGACCAAGAGTGATGGTGATGATCAGTATGACAAAGCTTGGTATGATAACGGTGGTGATTGGTATCAGTGGGATGGCTCGTGGAGCATCGCCGCTGTGAACGAGGAACGCTGTGATAGGTGTGGCAGAAAGCATAAGACCAGCTCTTGCACGACAGACTTGAGTAAGGTCAAGTGTTTCTCTTGTGACGAGTATGGGCATGTGAGCCATAACTGTCCTAGAGGCCAGCCTAAAGGGAAAGGAAAGGCAGGAAAAGGCAAGGAGAAAGGAAAACTTGTGAAAGGAAAAGGAAAGGACAAAGGAAAGGACAAAGGAAAGGACAAAGGGAAGGCTAAAGGTAAGCCTAAAGGATCTAAAGGTAAGAAAGGGAAGATGTATGAGCTAGTAGAGGAGACCAAGGAAGGAAATGAGGGAGGTCTTGACGACGCGACTTGGGCCGACGACTCCTGGTATGAAGGCTGGGATCAGTGGGATAGCAGTGCAGGTCATGAGGCCTGGGGTAGCGCGGTCGCTGAGACTTCGAAGGAAGCCAAGCCAGTTGAGAACTTGCAGCTGCGTGCTGTGATCTTTTCGCCGTTGCTTGTAAATGAGATCCTAGAGGACCCACAGGACTGCGAGTGGTGGTTGCTTGATAGTGGGGCTGGAGTCTCTGTGTTGAGTGAGAGTGCTGCTGCGTGGTTTGGGATAGACTCTGGATAGACGTTGGTGAGCTCAGGAGCTCACGTGTGCAGCAGGGATTCTCAGCGGCCAACGGTAGTCCTGTGAAGATGCTTGCTGAACGAACCATCCGCGTTGAGATTTTTCTTGAATTGCCTGATGGTACCAGTGATTGGCGTGAAGCAAGCATGAATGTTTGGATTGGCGACACAAATCACAACATCATTTCCACGACCATGCTGTGCCACCGTGGTTGGACCTTTTCTCAATCGAGGGAGGGCATCCACCTTGCGTCTGCTTCAGGCGCGTGTGCTAAGGAGATCGTGCTTTTCTGTAATGTGCCCTGGGTGCGTTTGAGACCTGTGGTGCATCCGGAGTCGCCTGAGGGCGAGCTGTGTTTGGCGCCACTGACGCCTCAGGTCCCAGCTGTGCCGGTGTCTCCACTCACCCGTTCGAGTGAAGCGGAGTTGGCCCTGCACCGGTTGCAAGGTCATACGGCATACGCCCTATCACCCCGGGTGCAAGCACTGCCAGGTGTCCAGAACGGTCTTTCAGCACAGACGTCGTAGGGATGGTCGTCTTGAAACTGAGGTGGTTGCTGATTTCTTCTTTCTCTCGAGTACTGGTGAGGAGAGACGAGAGGTCAGATCGGACAATTTCGTGTGCTTGTGATGGTGGAACGGATGTCGTCCATGATAGGAGCCATCGTCACGTCTGACAACCTAGTCTCCAGCAGGACCGATATTGTGAGGTGGCTTCGTGAGTTTGGGCTTGAGTCGGGCACATGTTCTATCCTCATGTTGACAGACGCAGAAGAAGCCGTGTCTGACTTGGTAGCCGGCGCCTCTGATGAGTTTGTGTTTCAGGTCAGGAAAGCAGGTCCTCAGTGCCACGAGTCAATTGGTGTTGCCGAGCGCGGGGTAAGGAGGATTAAGGAGTCATTGCAAACATTGCGTAGTGACTTGAATCATGAAGGCCTGGACATCTGCTTCAATCACATCGGTTTCAGTGCTGCTCTTACGTATCTTTGCGGTAGCTTGAACAGGTTCTCGAAGGCTCATGGGTCGGACCTTGCACCATGTGACATGCCTTTGCAGAGACCAACCCCCAAGGGCGCCTTCACTCTGTTTGGCGCTACGGTCTTAGCCGAGCTGCCGCAGTCGATAAAAAATCTGGGACCGAACCTACCCCGGTTTACGGAGGCTGCCTTCCTCTACCCGGTGTTGGGGTCCCAGGCCATTCGTGTTGCTGCGCTGATTCGACTTGAGGGCAGGTTGGAACTAAAGGTCTTTAACGCAAAATCTGTGAAGGTAACGGTTCCGCTGACTTGGCGGCTTGAACTCGTGGAAGGAGTGATTGCTCCCATTGGTGGCGGACCCAGGATTCCTCCTGTCCTTGAGCATCGTGAAGTGCTTGATCCTCCTGTGTCAGTCCGTGGGCCTGCATCGGGGCCGCCTGTTGAGTGGTTGCGGCGTCATGGGTACACGGCTCGATGCCCAGCGTGCTCTAATCTTCAAGCTGGCCGACGAGCAGGTCAGAAGCACGGTCGAGCTTGCCAGCAGAGGTATGCTCATTGGCTTCGGGAGTCGGTTGCTGGTGACGGCGCTGCCGTTGCGGAGGATAGGGCTCGGACTGTGGACGCAGATCCGACTGTGGCTCCTGACCAATCTGGCCAGGAGATGGCCGTGGATCTTGGTGATCAGGGTGATGGCGCTCTGGAGGTACCGAGCGTTCCAGTGCATCGGGCCTTGACCGTTCGGTGCAGCCGCAGGTTGTGCCTCAAAGGTCTCAGCCGGTTCTGCCCTCAAGTGCCCGTGTGAGCGTGAGTGATGTGCCTGTTGATACAGAAGGTCCTGATGCCGATGGCGTCCGTAGTGATGCCCAGCATGCAGGGTCGCATCGGGCATCGCCTGATTCTGGAGGCCTGGAGCCTGAGGCAAAGAGGTTGCGTGCTAGTGAACCGTCGCGACCTTCGCTACTTATAAGAGACCTAAGCCAGTTGAGAGCGACAGGAGCGAAGGCTCCACAGGGCTTCAGTTGGGATCTTCAGCTGGGCATGCCAGCTCTGGTGGTGGCTCCGGGTCACGAGGAGTGAAGCGCATGTCTGATGTTGAGGTTGTTGAGCTTGAGAACGAGATTCGTGATTCAGGCCCCAGCGTTCCACGGATGATCGAGGGAATTATGTGGGCGTCTGACGCTCATGAGCCTGCCGTCTTGAGTGAAGTTGTAACTCGTCCTGAGGTATTCGATGAAGGGATCAACAGCATCAGGTATGAGTCATCTTCTGGTAATGCCGCTAAGCCGAAGTTTGAGAGTGTTCCACTTGGGGGGACACGGGTGCACTTGTGGTGCCGTGCCCTGACGGCGGCATTGATGATAGCACGCTTGAAGAGCTTCCGGGAGATTTAGTGTTTGCTGGCATGAAGGAGGAAGTCTGCAATTTGGAGAATTGCCGCACAGGCCGCATTATCGGTTCTGAGGAAGTTGATGCGCTGAAGCGGAAACATCCGGGAATGCGCGTGATCCAATCCAGGTGGGTCTGCACTCGTAAGAATGCTCAGCGAGTTCGCAGCAGGATCGTTGCAAAGGACATTGCCAACGGGTCGGCGCGCAAACAGGGTTTCAGTAGTCCTACTCCGAGTCTTGACTCGCTCATGCTAGCGCTGATTATGCTTGCTACGCGTGACATGCGAGGATGCGGGGCGGACATTGGCCATGCGTTCATGAACAGTCCGTTAGAAGCTAAGACCCCTGTCATTCTGAAGTTGCCGTTGTCTGTGTCATTGTCTAATGGACTTCCTGCGTTTTTCTTCTTGTATTGCGCTTTGAGCGGTCTTAGGGAAGCTTCATTGGCATGGTTACGGCTTCTGACTGGCCTTATACGGCCACTTGGACTTAACAGCTGTGAGCGCGAGCCGTGCTTATTCACTGGATGGGTGAGCACAAAGGCGCGTGGGACCGCGCATGGTGGGCGAGCCATCGTGATCGCCTATGTGGACCTTATGTGGATGATCTGTTGATCATCACTGATGATGAGCTTGTTGAACAGGCCATCCTCGGTGCCATCTCGAAGCGGTTGCATGTAAAGATCACAGGAAGGATCTTCCCCTCGAGCGCCGGAGGTGGGAGCCTCACCTTTCTCGGTAGATGCATCCGTAGATGGCCAAATTCTGCTGTGATTGAGTTGAGCATTGACAAGCAGTACTTGGAACCATGTTTTAGCGCCTACGGGATCACGAAGGGTTCACAAGCAGTGCCTGATGTTGCCAGTTTGCTTGAGAAATCCGGTCCAGAACTCACACCGGAAGCATATTCGCGCCTTAGGCGAGCATTGGGCCGGCTGTTATGGTATGCTCAGACGAGGCAGGATATTAAGTTGATGCTCACCTTGATTGCCACACAACAGAGCAAACCTACTTCAGCCACTGAGTCTGCTTTGCGTGCTGTCCTTCGGTTCCTTTAAAGGGTGACGAGTACATAATCCATCAGATTCCCTTTGCGAGCTTGGATCCTGAGTTCTTGAACTGCTCACGTGATGAGCTGCTCACGCGCGTGCATGTATTCGCAGACGCCTCATATGCTCCATATCGCTTCCTTGAGCGGAGGGGCATCACTGGAGGAGCAATCACCTTTGCAGGGAGTGCTGTGAGATTGGTTGCCGGGCCAAAACACAAAGCGTTGTCTGTTTGTCGTCCTGCGAGTCGGAGTTGCACGCCTTGCAATTCATGGCCCAAGAATGTGTCGCATTCATGTTCAGCGTGAACCGGGTATTGGCAAGCTTTGGCGAGGCATCCCTTCGGTATGATGTCCAATTGGACACTCGGGAGGATGAGGACTCCCATGATCCTGGTCAGGAGTCTGTGGCTGAGCTCTTGACAGACTCACAGTCGGCGGTCGACCTCCTCAAGGGGGAAGATCTGCCTCGGCGGAGTCGACACATTGAGATCCGCATAGCGTGGCTCAGAGAGCACCTAAGGTCTGGCCGCATTCAGCTCAGGTGGCTGCGAGGTACTGTGAATCCAGCTGATCTTTTGACGAAGTGTTTGCCAACTAGAACACATGTGCTTCATCGTGAGCGCTTGGGGTTCGTTGCCGAGACGGGACATGCAAGTGCCTTATTTGCCCTTGCTCAGCTGCATGTACAACATGAGAATAAGACCGGAAGTTCTGTAGCTTTGCTGGAGGTCTGCTGTAGTGACGTAGTGCCGACTCCGAGTTGTCGAGGGCATGCCGTGAGCTTCGGATCCCGTATGTTGGCATCACGGCGAATGCGGAAACGACTCGTGTGTTTGAGCAAGCAAGCTGCTAGGTACGTCAGTGAGTGGAAGCTGAGTGGGCTTTGGGTTCATGTGCACACTTCCACGCCATGTGCACCTGGATCACCGCTGAAGCGGTTCAGTGAATCGAAGACCGAAGCCGACTTTGCGTGGGAGCCTCTTTGCAAGTACGCCTTGAAGTATCTGAAGCTTGGTGATGGTAGATCTTTTGAGCTTCCGTACTTTAACGAGCTTTGGAAACGACATGGAACACAGAAACTGTTGAAGGATGCTTGCTTGATTTTTCACGTGCAGGTGTACCTGTGTGCGACGGGCATGATGTCAAAGTCCGGCCTGCCGATTGGAAAGCAGTTGTGTTTTGCGTGCTCGCATGAGGTCTTCAGTCGAAAGCTGCGTGAGTTGTTTGGGACATGTCGTTGCAGTGCGCATGCCAGCTTTGCAGACACTGACTACACGTCAACAGGACACTACAACAAAGCATTGGCAAGAGGTATCATCAAAGCCCTAAGTACAGTTTAAAAGCGGTTTTGCTCGCGCCTTGCAACATGTTTTGTTTTCACTTTCTTCGTTTTCTGATTCTAAGACGCCGGTAGTTGCGTGACGAAGTCATGCGCGGAGGCTTGCACAGCATTCAAAGCACTGATTTTCTTCTTGAGTTGAGTTGAGCCCAATCTTCTTTTGAAGCTATGGCCGTAATGACTGTACTGGCGCTGCTGGTCGCTGTTATGGTGGTGTCTGTGAAAGAATCTGCAGCTACTAGAGCTGTCTCCACCTGGGACTTTGAAGCGATGGGGAGTGTCATTCAGGGCGTTATGGGGCCGAGCTTCAGCACAGACCCCTTCTGGATTATGATGATGGCTATTTTCGCGAATGGTTTACTGCTGGGTTTGCTAGCGGCTACTTGGTTTTATTTGGTGGCTTCAAAGACTACGAGACATCATGATCCATTTGATGGTCGTCACGGCTTTATTGCTGAGATGGCTACTGGGGAACGTTTTGCACAGGATGATCCTGGAAAGACTTCGAAAAGAGACTCCGGGAATATTCCGAAATCCAGCGCCGGTGAGCCGAGCGCCAATCCTATGAGTGCACCACGATTTGTCAATGATCATGGTGATGTGATTCTGGAAGGTTCAAAGGAGAACCAGTTCTGGAGGACGCGTCATCAACGACCTATTTTTATTTTCGGGGAGGATTCCGTTACGTTCCATGGGAATGCCAATTGCAGCACTCAGCAGGGCATGGTTGGAAGAGAGCTTCTGCCGTGTGGATGCTGCAAGCCCGAGTTGGGACATGATGAGCTGGCTACCTTTGGTATGGGGAATCGTTACCATAGAACTGACTGCAAGCATGTCAGCCCCAAGAATACGCGACCATCGTTCAGGTCACCGTGTGCTTCGTGCATGGTGCGACATCTGGAGTGAGAAAGCTGGTAAACGTGTTGGGTCATTTGGCATGGGCCGATGATCAAACATGTTATGCTGATCGCTACGAGATTGCCTGATCGAGTGAATGTCTGGAGCTGTCATCCCGAAAGGAGGTGTGAAAATATGTAACATTTGGCTCAAGTTTTCGGCTCAGGCCCTGGTTTTACAGGTGGGCTCGGCGCGAAAGTTAACCAGCAACCAGTCCTGGGCTCTAACTGCGTTTTCAACAGTCCTCAAACGCGTGAATCCCAGGCTTTGCCGCTTCTTTTGTGCCATTTTATCCCACCGGTAAGGGCGTCTGCCCTCGGGGGAGCGTGCGGCAGCCACAGCCAAGATGCCAAAGTCCAAAGGCAAAGGACTGATGGGCAGCTACACTTTGTGTGGGTGTGGCCAGTGGATCTACGACAAAAGGATCGCAAGCCAACCCAAGTGCAGCTGTGGAAAACAGTGGCCGAAGCCGCGGCAACCCGCCCTTGAATGGGGGGACGCTGTAACACCACCGCGGAGATCCTCATGCAGACCCAAGGTGGGCCGCCCCCGACGGCCACTGAGGTTGAGATCAAGGCCACCAATGACTTGAAAGGGGCCTCTGGGAGCCTAAGGGACTTGGGCCATAAGAAGATTCGCCTCCAGGGGCGGATTGACGAAGTTAAGGCGACCCTCGGGGCTGTATGGAGAAATGAAGGAGCTGCTCCAGGAGCTAAAGGAGGCCGAGGCCACATGGATGCCCTAGCCCAGGACTTCAAGGCCAAGGTGCTTCAGACCCCCACTTCTTTGGAGACTGAGGAGTTTGACTGCGCCAAGGCGCTGGCCGAGATGGGGGTGATCCTGGACAATGAGCAAGGCCAGCAGCTGAAAGAAGCCCAGGAAGCGCACCAACACTTGGCAGACCAGGCCCTGAGGAAAGTCGGCTGCCCACCGGGCCTAGGCACCCCAAAAAGGGGCCGCTCCGGGGCCATCCTTGTGCCAGCACCTCATGGATCTGGGAATCCCCCTGACTCCAGAGCAGAAAACCGCGGTGGCAGACACTTCGTGGAGCCCAAAGCTCACCCCGGAGGCTCTGGAAGCCACCATACAAGAAGGCGCGCAAAACATGGAGGTGGAAGAGCTTGAGAA